TCACAGCTAATGTCTCTGGAAGCTATTCAACAGTTAATCTATTGAAGAAATTATGTAGCAGCTTCAGGCCGGAGCGATTACGGTAAGCCTCGTTGAGCTCGACGGTGGCGGCAGATGACGTCATATTCTGAAGACGGCGGGGCAGTGAAGGAGGGCCTGCTTCTGTTTACGGGGGAACACCTAAGGAATATTCCGCCGTAAAACTTTCATTAACATCGGCTCCCTGTGCGACGAAAAGTTCGATGATGTGCGCCATGGGCAAAGTGTCTCTTTTTTTGGCCACCCCTGTATGCAGTTGATCACAATGAAGTTTACCGTCAGTTATCAATATACTTACAATACAGTGCAAAATCGGTGTCCTAAATTGGTTTTTAATGTGGTCCATCACAATACTGGATTCGCAAAAGGTGATTATTAGGAGAGAAGCAGGACGGAAAAGTAAGGTGTTCTTGAGGATAATTCAAAGGAAAAAGTAGTCAGTGAAGAATTCTTCGAACGACAGCCATTGAAACTGTGCGGGTGCACGAACTAACGAATGTAACAACCGGATGAAAATGGAACCGGCGTTTGGAACGTGAAGTCGCGTTAAAATCGTTGGCGAGACTTTTTACTCAAGTGATGCTACGAAGAAACGAAAGGCAGGTACGGGCTCTTCAGCAGGAAATTGAGGGAACTCAACAAATCCAGGGTTGTGCACTGGTGCACGGCAAGAGGTGCTAACTATACAGTAGTGAGAAAAAACGAGTTTCCCTCTCATATAGATTGGTTTCGAAAATAACTAACACAAATGAAAACCTGACTAGACTAAGTTAGAGGTGGGACCGCCTGGAGCGGAAGTTTTACCCATGACCAAGAATTCTTAGAAAACCCAACCAGAAAGTTATAAACTCAAGTAAATTTTGAATTGAACTGAAAAATCACCGAGTGATGAAAAAATAAATTTTCTTACCTGATAATCAACACAATGAATCGAAGAGGTCAGGGTACGCTAATCTATGTGCCCTCCGTAAATTAAGCTCTCTTGGACGCTCATGGCATTAAGGGGGAATTCAATATAGGGCACTGAAAAACCGCTGGTAGATGACACTAGGGCCAGGACAGAGAGGAGAGAAATGGAGAAGGAAAGGTGCTCACGTTCTTCCTCAGAATCCCTACCCCTCCATGAAGGTTAGTCTCGAGCTCTGCAAGTGGCACACTTACCTCAATGTTCCCATAATGACATGAACTCCCTTATCTGCATGCACCGCGCACACACAATACCTTCAAAGTCTTAACAGGAAGCTGAATGCAAGGCTTTTACTACGAGAGTGGCGGCAATCACCGATTGTTGAAGGTGATGTCCTGCCCCCGGTTTTCATATCCATCTACAGCTGTTGTGCACCGAGGTTCTCAAACTGGGGAAACTCATAGAGATAAGGTATGGCGCACACAATCCGGAGGACTGTAAGCGCTACACTGCTCTACTTGCCCGGCGCGCCTATCGCATCTGTCTTATTGCTGCTGCTTTTCGAGGTCAAAGTCGGAACTAGGTGGTACAGAGTAATTTCCACGGCTTTACAGGGGAAAAGGCTCAAAAAACTCAAAAAATGGCACAAGCCTCTGCTTAAAGCTCATCGAGATTCATGAGGCTTAAATTACTTCGGAGACACTGAACTCCCAAACTTTTCACAGCTAGATTTTGATATGGAAATGTTTTTAATTTTAAGATCAGACGCTTCACTGTATTCGAGCGTCATTTTTTGAGGAAAAATATAGCTAGTTGGGTGGTAACAGATCAGTGCCAAGCAATATCCGCGTAGCAGCAAGTAAAGCCTCAGAAATCATAAACGGTTCCAGTATTAGATTTACATTCGTTAATTTATTGCGCTATAGCCGCTGTTACAACATATTCAAGAAAGACAAACTGGGAAGGAGCAGACTATTAGGACATGGAGCTCAGAAACGACAACATCTGAAGAAATCGAGGAAGCAGGACACAATATAGTGAGGGGGGGGGAGGGCAGAAAAGAGTCACTTTGCTCACTGCGCACGTCGTGCATTTTTCATTGCACAGGATGCCGAGAAATTAATGTGGCATAAATATTCCTCAGAAGTCATCTCATAAGCAGACCCTTCTTCATTGCCCTCCTCGTCTCCAGAATATAATGTCATCTGCCGCCACCGTCGAGCCCAACGAGGCTTACCGTAATCGCTCCGTCCTGAAGCTGCTACATGATTTCTAAAGTGGATTAACTGTTGAATAGCTTTCCACAGAGACACTTAAGGTCCCACACCACTGCTACCAAGACGCGGCTTGCTGAACCAGCGTTCAGAGACTTCGTGAGTGGCTAGTAGCAAACCTCGACGAAAGCCTCGGTGCCGTGCACCGTTCTTTCAATAAGACAATCTTTCGTCGGTGTGGAAAGGTTTTATGATGCCTGTATGACAGATTGGGAATATCTCTTCCCAATCATTCAACGTTTCAGCGTGTAAATCCGTTGTGATGTGGAGAACAGTGACCCTTTTTATTGCCCTCGCCGTAATGCCCATCCGATGTTTCATTTCTGATCCATGACGAAACCCGACATGGGCGCATTCTGAAAGTGTCAACCGGAACCAGAAAATCGAGCCACTTCTCGGCCAAACGCGCAGCAACGCCTTTTTGGCCACTGCTTGTTTTTATTGGCCCTTCTTATGTACTGCTAGTCATTCGAAAGGGTGCGAAACTAATTCCTATGCTTCGCTTCAGTGATAATTCATCTTAGTTCCCAGATTGTAATGTTCAGTGACTGATAGATCTTGCCAGTGCTTTTTTGTAATTCAAAAACATCTGTGAGAGAAGCACTGTCGTCAAAAACCAGCGATGTTTGATTTCCTAAAGGGACCCAGTACTTTAATAGAGAACACTCTTCTCATTGCGGTAAGGCTACATTGCACTGATGGGAATCGCCTTCTCTCTGAAGGACAAAACCCTTGACCTCTTTAATTTCGAACAAACTCCGGTTGTTTTTCGTGGAACAAATCGACTGCGATCGTTCAGTTTTTGAAAATCTCGCACAGCGTTTGCATCGCTGTCGCTCGTCGTTCCTATGCAGCGCCACCCACCTAACCGGCTCCTATTGCACTGTCTCCGCTACCCGTATTCGCGCTCCCGGCTGGGCACCGGAAGCCGTTACGGGAGGTGCGAGCGCGCCGCGCGCAATGCCCTGCCGCCGTTGGATGCTCCCCCCACCTTTCAAGGCGACTCCGCCCATAGACCTCGGTCGCTCTATAAAGGCACGGTTGACCAAGAGCACGCACTTCTCACTGCAGAGCATGCACAGCCGCCTCACAGCAGCAACACATGATATTCGTACCAGTGGTTCTCTTCTGTTTGCTGGCGCTCGGTACGCTGCCTACGAATTCTCTCCTTTTTTATTATTTCTCGTCATTCTTTTGTTCTTCATGAATGATTTTCAGCGGTCAACGCCCGTTCACCGTGTTCTGAAGGTTGGCGATATTTTCCTGTGACAAACGCTTGCTACAAACTCATCGACGATGAGTTACCGTGGACGATAGCCGAATTCAAATGTCTGTTCCAAGGCGCCCATCACGTCTCTGTCGATAATGCTGCCGAAAACCAATTCGTTCATGGTAAGTACTACTAGCTTTGAAGTTCCTTTTTATCACCTGATTTGGAAGGATTGAGCAGAAATGTCAATTTGACTCTGTTTTGAACAACTGCTCTCAAAATCCTTACATTTGTCTTTTCTACGAGCTGAGTCAATAGACCATAGGCCACCTTGCCCTTCCATGTCTAAAAGAATCATAGCTTTCTTTAATTTCTCCATTTTGTTAACCATACCCCGAGTAAGGGTTGATTATTACCTAACCATCACAACAGCTTGCAGAGCACTGACTCCACGCGTGGCGCAATCATTCTTGGCTGGTTCCTGTCACTAATAGTTGTCAGACCAAAATATGCTGAAAGATCAACTTTTCCCAGAGAATTATTTTTCAGAGCATTTCATTCCCTTTCACCAATTCTTTGAGAAGCTTTTGGGCCTTAATTCTCTCATGAAAGATTCTGAAGGGTTGGATGGCAAATTTCTACCCCAAAGTTCCCAGGCACCTATTGGTCACCCACCTACTGGTTGCGGCAATCCCCAACAATGATCTTTGTTCGCAGCAGCAATAACAGCAGTTGTTAATGAGACCGATACAGACCTACCCATCACACGCAGGTTCCCTGCTGATCATTGACCTTAATGTTAAGCGCTCAAGTAGTAAACCAGTAAACAGGGCTCCTTACACCAGACACTAGATCGCAGCCTTGAGCTTTTCTAGATAAAAGCCTGTGCGCCTTCTCGGAGGCGAAATTTGTCCCGGCAATCGTTAACCCGTTCATTTTCCTTACTGGGATCTTTTGTTCAGATTTATTTATCCTTGTTCGGTGTAAAATTGCGTCGATCCTCGATTTGGATGTCGTTTTGCGGATTTTCATGGGATATTCAGTCCATCATTGCGTTGCACTTAGAATGACCCATATAAAGTGCGATGATTTAGCAAACGGCGAGCGGCAGTTGTTCCCGGTTTGGGCTAAGTTGTTTAAGACATTCTTAAAGCTAGCGGTGCGCTCGCTTGGCTTGACTTGATCCAATTAATGGGCTTAGTGAGAGCAGCTCGGATTAGGAACTTCCTAAGCGTTAATGGGACTCATCCGGTGACCGATTACATGATTTAAATGCAAAAACAATGAACGGGCGTGCAGCGCAGGACTCGTTCAAGCCAATTGTTGTTTTTGCAGAACTTGCACGACGTGGCGAGATGTGGACTGGAGCAGCGTGGTTTGGCTCGACACCGGACTACGTGAACTCTGATCAGACACCTTACGGGCGGTACACGAACTGGAAAAGTGGTAAGTGAACACCTCTACAGCATTACAAAGTCGCGCAGGGCGACTATCTAATGACATCAGACCCTTTCCGGTTGACACTGAAACTTATCGATGCGGTAATCGGATAATTGAAGTTTGGTCTTCGGAGAAATCAGTAGCGCTGCGCTAGGTGACGTCTCAACAGTGCTACGGTCGGCCGTGCGACCGAGCATACGCTCCCGTTTCTTAGCCGTGTGGTGTTGGCGGATGGAGAACGGGCTGATGTGAGACCGGAAATAACTGAAAAAGGCCTCGGCGCTCGGTCCGCGTCGTCGGGTGTTTGCGAAAATCATCGTCGTCATCGCTCTCCAACTCGGTTTCTGGTGATTTGATGAAAGACGCCATCCCCATTGATCATGTCGCAAGGTCTTTCGATTCGCTACGACTTCCGCTAGGTCACACACAGCGATTGGACGAGACTGCAAACATTTAGATTTCTCACTCCACTTTTTTAGCATCCTTTGCGGAAGGGATCGCGTAAGGAAGGTTGCACAGGAAGGAAAACAGGGTGAAGGGTAATGTAATCGACGCTGATCAGCCCCTTTCGGGACACGCCACGCATTCAACTTCCTTTCACAATGGTATAGCACTTCAGCGTGATTGTCTTGTACAGTGGCTTGCATGGACAACGTAGAAGTAGCTACTCTCTTCCCGGACGAATCTAGTCTATGGCTAAGGGACCCTACACAGGTGGGCTGGGTTTTCAGGCTCCCGGGTAACATAATCCCGGCTTTCGCCTCTGAAGTATGCATGTAGTGAGGGGTGTCGTTCAACCATAAGATTTCGCACCTATTTAAGAAAGGGCGACGATCAGCTTATTTTTTGCGATTATGGGAAGCACTGCTTTTGGGCGCAGGTAGACGTGAAGAAACCACTGAAAAAGACCCTAAGCTCCCTCAGAAGCCGGTTCAACCTTTTCAGACCATCCATTTTCCTTCATATCTAAAGATCTGCTAATACCAGACCAAATCCATCTTATTTTGGCAGAACCTCTCTCTTAGAGGATGCTTCGGGGAGAGGACCTCACCACCAAAAGCCACTAGGTGCTCAGCCTACTTCCTAATTCCTGTTTGGCCCCAGGATGGAAAAGGGATTCTTCAAAGGCAGAGTGGTGGAGCTATGAGGTCGCCAAGTTGGGATCGGTGATCTAGTCCTCTAGAACGTCTAGGCATAAAGCAACCCATTTTATCAGAAGGTGTAGTTGGTTCAGAGGCGATCATGCGTTGTTCAGAGTGGTGTCCCATTACTGCCATATTGCCATTTGACAGAACTCTTGTTCTTCACGATCTCACACTCTTCGAGGCAATTTCACACAGAATGCATTTAGGAGGGTCACCTATCCTATTAAAGCAGCAGGATTCAGAACAGCAAATGAAACTATGCGCAAGGCTAAGCAAGACAAGGAAGAAACTTTACTAAAGTGGCCTCTCTGAAAGCAGCGATCGCAATCGATCATTCCCATCCCTGCCCAAAATCCGATTAGGTCACCGCTCTCCACTACTGTAACGGTCAAGCCCTATTATATCCCTTTTTATACACCGCGATCAGGAAATGCCCTTTGGTATTCAAAACCATCCAACAGACCGACTGGCTCCGCCAGAGGACCTCCGCTTGTGAACGAACTTGTTTCCGATCTTGAAATAAGCCGCTCTACCGGAAAAACGAATGTACTGTAAGCGGAACCGTTCCACTTGCAACGGGCTTTTTGAGGGGAATTATGATTTTCAAATTCACCGCTCTAAACAATGGACACCAGATTTGACGACAGCGATAATGGGGACGTAAAATCGAAAATGTTTGCAAATTTTTGGGGCGTTGCGCGATCCTATCAGATGGAATGCCTCGAAAAATAGCTATTAATCTTATTATCTTAACCCTGCAAAATTTATAAAAATCTCCGGCGTGAAACCCGTGCGGCCCATTGAACCCTTTGAAAATTTTCACTGCCGCCACTTCACCTCATTTACACTTCACTACCTGCTTTACCTTATTCTCAAGAAAGCCTTAAGTTGAATAGTTAAAGCGGAATGATAGGAATGAGGTCATTCCGAGAACACTACTGTGAAGTTCCCGATAGTGCCTCAAATGACAAGGGTCTTAGGAGGATGAGAGGGAGTGAAATGACTATATTAGAGGGCTATGAAGATGTGATGAACTTATGCCTGCTTCATTGCACCTGCGTTCCCTGAACGTCTAAGCTCGGCTGGAAATGTGTGAATGTTTCCGAGCAGCAGGTTCCGGATAAGACTAAAGCCTCTTCCGCTTCGGTCGCACCAGCATTGCTGTGCAGCAGGCAGTACTTTTCTCGCAGTGTTTAGCTCCTTCAGTCGTTCTTACCCAATCGGCTAAAGCTCTTCGTTTCCAGCAGTACTTAGTTGTTTCCAGACCCCAGTCAGGAGGGGGTGCCTGCAGTAGTTTAGCCTTCTATGGGATATGTTTCATATAGGTCTAAACTTAAGCTGATTCAAGCCTACGATTCAAAAGACATAGGATTCCAAGCCTAGGTATAAATGAACTGCACGATGAATGAACTGAACAGAACGTTTGACGATGAGCTCCCACAAAATATCACAGTATCCAGTCAATATCGTTACCAAGTGTCAAGGCAGAGAGCCAGAATAGGGTGAAAACCTGCATGGCTCGGCATAATATTACAGTGTCGTTTTTCAGGAGTGACTCCGTCGCTGAACAAAGCTCGACGATGCATCAAGATCGGGCGCGACGGTCAATGGTTCCAGTCATGCTGCAAGAAGAAGAGTTTGGCGGTGTGCGAAAAGCCAGCTGCCTATTCTTGGGAATCATCGAACGATCTCTCGGAATTCCGTCGAGCGAAGTTCCGTCGACTCCGATTCTAAGTCGTCATATGGCAATCGTCACCAGATAACCTCAATCACCTCCAAATCGCGACCATCTCTCAATGGTCCCTAAGCTGATACACTTGACCCTTGTCTTAGACAATGGGGATTTCATCTATACAGCGATGATCGGTGGATATCAGTTCCTTGCTTATTGACAGTTTTAGGGCGTAAACGACGTGTAGACATGTAGATTATTTCGATTCCTTCTCCACGATGACCCCATGTGAAATAAGCCCCTGTGCGATTCCATGTGCCTCTAGATTCTCATACTTGCAAGCCTTACCATTTTCGGCGACCTAGGCGCCTTCTGACGGCGTCCGCTCTTCGATGTTGCTTTTTCCCAACTCCGTAAAACCAGCAACATCAGTGAACAGCTCGTGGGCGCTCTGCCTAACTGCCACGCGCCGTCGATTACTTGTATATGTCTTGTGAATATTACATTATTTACGGATATCATGTGGAAATAAATTATTGAAACAAATTTGCTGAGCAGCTTGGGAAGGAGCCACGTACGCATTATCCAGTCAGAATGGCACAGACATTTGTGGGCAGATGGCCAAGCCCAGCGCAACTTTTACGGTCATTTGATAAGAAACGAGTTTTGCCTACAGCGGAAATCGCTCTTTTCATATAACTCTCGCCAACCCAACGGTTTCAATGACAGCTACCCATTTAAAATCGCAAAACTGATTTTCTTATGCGATCCGTGAAATGCTTTGCATAAGATTCTCAGCCTCTAAACAAATACTGATTATCAACATCGATGCATACAGAGGGGTGGGAGCAAACATTTCATGTTGGAGAGAACATCACTGTAACAGGCGCTGAAACACTTTATGTTGGAGAGAACATCACTGTAACAACAGGCGCAGAATTAGACGAAGCGTGCTGGATTGTAGGATAAACAGCGCATTCTGCACTTTTTTTGGAAAGGCTCGCATGTTAAAGAGAGCATCAGGTGAAACTCCAGTTCGGGGGGCCACTCCATTGCTATCTTATCCGTAGTACTAGAGAGCAGTTCTTTGGGCTATCGAACACTACGGATAAGATAATAAGTGAACGACTCATTTCGAGCGTACTTTTGATAAGGACCGGTGGATGTCCTACATTCCACACTACCTGCCCACATCCCATCCACTTTTCTGCACAGGTGATCCACCCTGGAGCTCCTGCCCCTTAGGCCTAGGTAGAGGTCCATTCTCCTGGTCCAGAACCGTTTCTTTGGACCATGGCAGGTGCAAATCTGGAAGCATTTTGGGTTTCTTCCACATTACACCGATACTTATCAGAAATAATAAATGAGTCGATTACGTGCGTGGGCGCTCTTATCCTTACATCAAGTGTTGGATAAACAATGCCCCCCCCCCAATCTGGATTTTTACCAAACATCATGTACTCTTCCAAGCGATCGCGCTGGTGCTGTGCATCTTCGAAACAAAGCAAAAGTGGGGCAAAGACAAGTGACGCAGCTGCCGTAAGTATGCTCCGATCTTATGTCTCTCAACCGTTCGAGACCCTTTACAGAAAGAATTGTTTGAAGGTTGAATCTGTGAATTGTACCGAACGCGACCATCACTTTGTTAACCAAGCACACATTCAAAGCTCACAATTCACCACAAATCAAGATTGGATGCATCGGCGGCGTATCTCAAAGAAGATTAGTGAATGCCCAACAATTCATAACCCTGCATTATTAGTGCTTCTGGTTTTCAAAACGACTCGACACATGAAGGTGTTTGAGCTGTCCATTCCTCTTCCCGTTATAGCGGTACCCTCAAAAGTACTCGGGTAAATAATTGAATGGGCAAAAGATCAAACAAACACAAAAAGGCGAAATATTCGAGAATAAATTCCTGTCCAAATTCACTCTTACATACATATATAGCCGTTAGCATAAAAGTATTAGGATGGTAAGAAAGTCCTGAGCCGTTTGACACTTTTTTGTGCTTTACTTTTTTATTCCGCGTACAATGGAATCTACTCAAACAATATAATCACCATTGTTACTCACTACAGAGTCCCACCTAATGGGCAGGTCAGCGACCCCCTTCTCCCAGAACTGAGCAGACTGAGAGTCAAAGAAATCGCTGACCGCTCTTTCAACGTCTTCAACTTTGGTGAATTTTTTCTTCGCTAGGAATGCCTTAAAGCAACAATCCAGGAACGAATTCGCGGGTAAGGACCACCTATAATGACGTTGCAGGTGAGAAGTTGGTCAATGGAGAAAGAAAAAGTAGAAAAAAACGTCGGGCAGGGGCTTAGACAGGGACTCCCCCTGCCGTTTAGGGAGACGTGTGTTGGACGAGTTGTCCGAACCTGCCCGTAGTACATGCGCTCCAGTTGACTGCTGGCAAATAGCCATGCATGCTTGCAAATACATAACTATTTGCCAGCAATCGAAATTGAAGCGCTTCAATTGCGTTCTTATGGAATCGACCTCATACAGCGCGGCGGTCCCGCAACGACCGCTAGTCGAGCAAGCGCTCTGCACAGCGTATGTTGGGCGATCCGCCTCTTTATGGGTGATCCGCCCCCTCCAAGAGGACTTCGACCCCTTCCAGCGCATTTTAGAGGTAGGTTTTGAAATTAAAGACATTTCCTATAAACTTTAGTTGGGCTGGGGCATGTTTTGACCGCCTAATGACCAAGTAGTTGAAACCCTGCCTGGACTGTTGCTTTAAGGGAGAAAGAAGTGACAGTAGAGAGGGAATGTCAGGGGAATGGGGTGGGTGGGGAACCGCGTCCTAGGCCGGCTCCTCCAATTTTGCACGGGTCTCTTTAGCTATGTGGGGCCTGGCGTCATCGTGGAGTAGGTGTTCATCTCTCATCTCTCGTAATCATGCCTTTCCAAAAACTCCTTTCGGTGCGGACAAAGAAGGAGAAACTGACAAATGGGTACCCGCCTGAACCGCGTGCTATCGGTCAAGACATGAGGGATCCATCGAGTCGGCACTTTCCTGTGGCGAGGGCGTGAGGGGGACCGAGGACTGTGGGATGGGTGCACCCGAGTCTTATCACAAGGCTGCGGGTGCTAACCTCCGGATCCTCTTCGACAGCGCCGAGAACGGTGGAGTCTTCCACTGTTTGGGGGCTTCCCAACCTTGTCTTTTCTTCGAAGCCGTGTCTCCTCCTTCGAAGCCTGCGAACCAGAGCTTGGCACTGATGATGGAAGTGGTGTCCCTTCCCAATGCGATGCTGATAATGTTGACGGTTTCCACTGCTCCTGTGCCGCAGCGCCATTCATTGAAGATGATCGCTCGAAAGTGCTCTTGTGGAATCGACATCATGATTAAAGTTAAAGAAGGCAACCCGGCTATATACCTACTGCGGAGAAGTATGATCGACAGCGATAGTCTATCACGTAGCAGATTCTAGGTATCGATCAATAAGCGAAAGTTCTGGAGCTTTCAAAAAAATCGGCTCAGGACTTTTCTTACCATCCCAAGTAACAACTGCTCCTCGTATAACTTCGTATATTAGTGTACTCCTCGCAAGGTATCCGCAGATCTAAGGGGAAGGATCTTAGGGGCGAAATCAGAAGGTGGGAAGCATGCTAAGCGACATGCCCTCCTCAGTTGAACTCCAACTTTAAAAAGTGAAGAGAAGTGGTAAATAAATGGCCAGTTTGTACAAACTTCAACTAAATAGCTTCCCATATAATGACGCTCGTATTGTGGTTTCAAAGGTCGATAAAGAAGTGACCGAAAGGACCGGAACAGGGGATGGAGTGGGTTCGATGATGAGTTCCTTTGTCCTTAATGTGGTAGTGGTTTCACTTGTCAGAAGCGTTCAATTGAAGGAAGTGTTTTTCTAAGATAATTGCCGAGGAATTGGTTTCCTGTTGAATCAAGAACTTGGAAGCAGATTAGGATTATCGTGTTAGAAGACCGCTGCGAACATTTATGAAATGTAAGCTTTTTAAGAATTGGAAACTATTGTTTCAGGAACTAGCTAAGTGCCAAGAAACGTTCTTCCCTTGATAGCTGAATCTCTTAATCTTTGAGGGAGGAATTCACGATAAGAACGAAGGTCAAAGAAGGAAAAATTGCATAGTTGGGAGACAGGCGGACCTCCTGAGGGTGCTGACCGACGCGCAATTGGCAGCGATTTGACCTCGGCGATCTAGCATGGCTCACTCGCGGTTGGCGGGGTACGCCCACCGACTATCTAATCACTCGCCGCAGGTCTATACGTGGCGAGTGATTAGATAGCAGAGAGAGCGTAGTGTTGAAGAGGGCACAGCGATGAGAGTCGCATCAATGCGCAAATCAACGGGCAAGGAAGGGGTCCCATTTCTCGGGTTTCGGGCCGTTTCAAATGGTTTCTTCTTCATCCCTGCTCCACTGACCACCTCTACCCTTATTTCCAATGAGCTAACTTTTCATCGTAAATTCTGCCTTTAAACGATCAAGTGCCCTCATTTGGCTGCGGACTTCGTCAACTATTTGAAGACAAGCCCCAGATATGCTGTGCGCGGCCAGGGTGAATCAGGTGTCATGGAAATTTGGTGGTCAGTACGACCTTCATCCTCCAGCAAGTCTGTTCCAGCCTAAACCTTCCCTCCACACAGTTTCGCCTTCAGTCATTAGTCAAAAGTTACTTTCAGATCGAAGTCAATGGGACTCTTCCGGAAGTCTCTAACAATCTCATGCAATAATTCCAATGGGAATCAAATTGGCCCTCGTCTCCCATACCACAGCATCGCTCGCTTTCAATAACAAGAGCACATTGGCGAGCCCATAAAATACAACAAGGATACCGTGCGTTGCGCATTACTTGGAGGGGTAGAGCTGTTGTCTACCATTTTTTTCGATTAGTGTGTTGGAAGGTCTTAGAATAAAAAAAAATTACAGAGAAATAGAAAAAGGGCGGTTCGTACCTCGAGAAAGCGTTGTGGTTTGGCCGGGAGCGATGAGACGTTTTTCCTGTAATTTTGGCGGAAATTCGAAAAGTAAGCGGGAAATGAGTCGTAGTTGGAAGATTGTCTTATATAACAC